GTATGGTGTGTAGAAACCCGATGTCTGTTTACAGACAGTCATTATCAGGGTATTCTCATCTACCTTGCTTTAGAAGATTTGTTGCTCTGGTTTGGGAATTATTATTCAGTCATATTTAACTAGCCTGTATGGTGTGTAGAAACCCGATGTCCACAGTGGAGTGCTGCTAGGATGACAGCCTGTTTCTGGTATTGGCGACGGGTGGACTGTGGGAGCATTGTGGTGACTCGCAAGATCATGTGTGATCAATGAAGCTCTTATATGTCATGGATTACGCTGCTCATTGAGATATGTTCACGGTCGTATGATTTTGAATTGACGAAAAGGTTCAAGCCAATATCTTATCTTTAGCAAGGTGATATGTAGAGATTTATGGCTGTAGTCTTTTTTTATGTGTTGAGTATACTTTCAATTTGTATATTATTGATTATTTTGGGAGTGGAATGATGTATATTGTTGGACGAGATATTTTGTCAGTAGTTGAATAAGTACCAGTTTCTTATCAACTAACCAAATAGTGGAAGGTCAGAAGGTCGCCTGATTTATCAGGTGTTATGATTATATCCTAGTGGTTTGACAACTAGTCTTGGCTGTGTGTAGAATGAGCTCTATGGTAACGCTTAATGTAAATATTTTAAGAGTGATTTAGGCATGGCTGCTGGCTTGGATTTACCATTGTTGCCCTGGGAAACAGTTATTAAAAATTGAAAAATGGGAGTAGAATTACTACAACCAAACACTTCAGCCCAGTTGATGGAATTGTCTGATCAACCATATTAAGCTTGCACGTACAGAGCTGAATGACAGCCCCAGTGTGGATGGTGGTGTGCTGTTCGTACAGTCGTGAAGCAGTATAGCGACACTGTATTCAGCGCTGGTGACACGGTCAGAGACAATCTGAAGGAAGCACTCATGCAGTCAGGTAAAAGCCAACACCCCAGGGTGTAAGGCAGATTGTAGCTTAATAGAATTCTGAAAAGGATCCTGTTTCTATGGTTACTGGAATCATAGATTCATTTGATAAATGTTAAACTATGCCATGTCTGGATTTGAAATGATAAGCTATTTTCTGGGTGACATTTTCTATTCACATGGGTCATGGACGTATTAGCAGTGCACATGTCTGTCATTGTGCCTGTGTCAGGAATACAAGGATAAACATGGAGTGATTATTATCAGGTGTATGACATGAATGTTTGATATCACCGGGTGGGTCATGTGGGTGATAAACCCAAATTTAGTATGTCGTGAGTTCTTTTTTGTATATTGTTACGTGTCGATTCCCAAATTGAAACAATATGTTAATCCAGAAATCTGTACGTAAAAGGATTTAGTGTGAAGCCAACAAATGGTACACAATCAACAATTGTATTACAAAATTAATTAGGTTTACAAATCAATACAAATTACTGCACAGCAATTACAATGGCAGTACGCAATGGAATGGTAGTACAATATTCAATGGCAGTATTAACTGTGAGAGCAGTGGAAATGACAATGACAAAAGTAATAATCAACAGTGGTCAAGCTTCCAAGATTAGATAGGCCTAACCATGCTAACACCAGGGTGAAAAGTGAACTTTATGCAAAAGCTGGTCTTGATTTTATGTCAGATGAAATGTGAGACAAGACAGGGACGCTCACTCCACTTATATACTCTAGCTTCAAGCACTTTCCACACAGTACTAGACCAGTGATAACTTCCTCACCACTGCTTACATTAAATAGAAATACATTCCTAACAACTAATCATTTTCCAATACAATGCAGTGATCTTCTACTGAATCTGAACAGAAACAATGTAATACAGCTCTAATCATTGTTTAGCAATTCATTACACTGCCGTATAACAATATCTTTGGAAAATATATCCCTAAACATGATATATATTTTTCAACACAGATGACAGACTAACACGCACAAGGGGCATGATCTTTTTGTGTATGTTACTGCGGAAAATAGGCATCAATGAATGCCCAAGATAAAAGTTTCCTATTTTATATTATGATATGTTGGTGATTATAATGAGTGATTCCTGCAAATGAACTCGTTGTTTGTCGGTAGAATATGGGACTTGGTAAGGTCGTGAGTTACCACTGTGCCAGCTTTAAACAGAATCCCTGTGGTTGACAGGTCAGATGTGATGACATATTTTGGAAATGATACCTGTCATCACAGGGTCTTGGAGAGAAAATGTACAGAATAAAATAAAGGTTATTACCTACTGGATAAGTAGGGGTACACCCCGGGCTATGTTCTAGACAACGCGAACTTCATCATGTTCATGTACCTTTTGGAAATATCTTCACATGACACATCATCTTCCCGAGGCAAGGGAGTTAACTGATTACACAAGTCAAGTTTGAACCCATGCCAAACTAGGTTGGAATTTCGTGACTCGCTATGTCCCTCCTATTGACCAATCAGATTCCATCTCTCACATCACTTGCATTTGCTTCAAACAAAATGGTGGTGCCCTGTCAAGACAATCTGATCAAGTTAATCATAGAAACGTTTCACATTCCCTGCCTCACAGACACCCAGTGTATTATAGATTGTAGCACAATGCCCAAGCATGTTGATTAAAAACATTTGGAAAATATCAGTCAACGCCCAGTTGACGGTACACATGACCATATACCAACTGTTCCCACAATTGATGACATCTCAATTTGTCCATAGCAGCTGTGTTTAGGTCGTTGCTCAGCCATTTATCCTCCATATGTTCTTTATCATTCGTGACCAACGCATGTTATTCCGGGACAAGCCAAATAGCGACTCGTGCCCCTTTCATGGCCATTTTTGCGACCGGGTTCCGTCTTAGCGCAAACGGGCATACCTAAAACAATTGTCAACTCGTTGCGGAATGGTTCATATATATTTCCCCACATTATTTAAATTGCAATTTAAAGCACATCTGGATAAGTGGAATTATATAGTATGATTGAACACATTTAACTGTGTGTTTGGGTATATTTTTAAATGCAAGACATGTATAAAATCAAAAATTATTTTTTTAAAGATTCTTTGATGAAGTACTTAAAATCATACGCGCATTCTTATTGGTTTGTCGTATTTTCGCACATAACATTCATCGATAGGGGGACGAGTCTTCTTGCAGGTTACGGAAAGGGGCGAGTGGTGACAAATGGTTCTGTATTGTTCTTAAATCAACATACAAGTCATTTTGGGCATAAAGGTCTCCCCTGACATTGCCAGCACACTGGAGACAAACATTGGCACGTTTGTTTCTCCTCATCATTCTTACGATGTCATCACATTTCGTTCAAACCATTAGATTTTCATTTTACTTATAGTCATGTGTTTATGCATAAAAACATTGGAATATCAATGCTGACAGCAAGTGTTGACGTTTTAAACTGTTCACTACATTTTCGGGTAAGCTTCAATACCATGGCACTATTTTATTACAGATACTAAAAGGATAATCAGATATACTACTCAACTGTTATAGGGATAGGGAGTATCCCGGTGGGGTCTGAATGTGACTGATTGCTGGGATATGTTGTCCTACAAATAGTGTTCAATATCGCCATGGAACTAAAGCATGTGCAGCTTCATTTCAAGTTGAATTAACATAAAAATGCACAGTTCAGTAAGGTGTTGGCATGTTACGTCACAGTATGAAATATCTCAGTATCCTTCGCAGATGATGGGGAGTATATACCCGGGACCCCCAAAAATAATTTTAAGGGTCAATGCAGGCAATATGAGGGTCCCTTACAGGAATGAAATGGTATAGTGTACTGAACATTTAGATGATCACTTTAGAGCGAGTGAGTGAGGTTTTACGCCGCTTATTTCAATATTTCAGCAATATCACGGCGGGGGACACCAGTAATGGGCTTCACACATTGTACCCATGTCAGGGTCTTCGGCGTGACGAGCGAACGCTTCCACCACTAGGCTACCCGACCGCCCTTATTACTTTAGAGCCTGGAAAGGATCAATGACCATGATGACAGTGGTTTCTGCATCCATTCTCTACATTTGTGCGTACTGCACTACTGGACGTAAAACCCTGATATATGACTGCATAGATCATGTATACAGGCAAGATTAATCCCTGGTAGATGAAGCCAAAGGACACCACAATACATGCATGGAGACACAATGCTCACATCTAGCTGTGCGATGAGCCTGGCAAATGTAATCAATATTGGAACCTCATTTTCTTCCAAGCATGTGATCTGCGTGAGGTAATCACTAAGCATGACACCAGTTGACTAGGTATCACACTGATTGTGGATGTGTGAATGACTGACATGATGAGAGAGCCACTTCAAAGTAACCTGCGGAGGCCACAAACATTTATACCTAATGTATTTTCGCAATATTACAGAAACAACAAACAAACATACGAGGGTGGCAAAGTTATGACATTATGAAGATGAAAAACTGTTGGTTTGTTAATCTTTTTTTCCTGTGTTGTTATGTAATCCTAGCTGTCCCATGAAGATTCCGGGTTAGAATAGGTCTTCAGCAGCCAATGCTTGTTGTCATCTTCCCGAGGCAAGAGAGTTAACTGACTTTAAAAGTCCAGTTTCCACCCTTGCTGAACTATAAAACCGGCATAAGTTTGGACAAGTGCGGGCGGTCGGGTAGCCTAGTGGTTAAAACATTCGCTCGTCACACCGAAGACCCGGGTTCGAATCCCGACATGGGTACAATGTGTGAAGCCCATTTCTGGTGTCCCCCGCCATGATATTGCTGGACTATTACTAAAAGCGGCGTAAAAGCATACTCACTCATTGGACAAGTGCAAGCACAGTCACACATACATGCATGCACATTGCTATCTAAATGCAATAATCTTTTATGTGACATTAAACCCCATTTCTCCTCACGCAAATCAACATATTTTGTTATGACAAACTAGTCGTCCATCTGCCACACCTCGTGTCCATCTGTCCCGACTCCATTGTGGGTTACACTTGGTGACATCACCAGTTGTACTTAGTGTTCATCTCTGCCACCAGGGGGAGCCAAGAAGTTCCTTTACACGGGTCCCAAGTCTAAGGAACATGCCGAAGAGGATCAGATGAACTTCGCTCCTCGGAAAAACTCCAGCTCCTCAAGTAAGAAAGTAATTTGTTGTTAAACTGTAGAGGAAACAAGTATGAAGATCTAGATCCAGGCTGAAACATGCATGATGGTTTAACATGTGACATCATGCTTCGGGATAAGGCATGGGTGGCCAAGTCGTCTGAGGCAGAGTTGTGTCCCTTAGGCACACCAGAGACCTATGGATGTGTGTTCAAATCACGGTTCGCCACGGTTATGTTTCTAGGTTTGTCAGCACAAAACCCGTGCTTCTGGGTGTCACTGAAGTGGTATACCTCTAGGACCAGCATCACTTCGGGCTTTCCTCCTGCATTAAGCTGACATGCCGTGATAGAACTGAAAGATTTTTCACTGAAACAGTATGTCAGAAACGACTGTTCTTGTTTCCAGCATCGGCAATTGACCTGGACGGGGTGTGGAGTATCAAGAGGAATGTCGGCATCGGAACTGCCCAACAGGACAAGCTCAACTTGAACGCCAACAAGAGCTTCTACTCCAGGCATGGCGGCATGAAAGGTATATGAGTTAGAGAATAATTTACCTGTCGGTTCTGACTTTAAGATTTCATGCTTTACAGATTTTGTTTACAAGGTCTTTTCGGTAGGAAGGAAAATATGTAATAACTAAGATATTTGAAATTATCATGATTATTAGGAGTAATCTGATTAGTTTGCTTGTCTGGTCAGCCTTAGAGCATGTAGAGTATATCCTATTACAGGCACATTTTTTGTATGTAGAACATCTAACTTTACTTTGGGAAGAATATAACTGTAGTGGGTTTGTTTGGGTTTTTTCAGAATATTTATTTTACAATTTCATTGATTTAGGGTTGGCAGGATCTGCAGAATTTTTATTGTAATATTGTTCAAAATGACATTAAACCCAAGTTACGATGTTAGTCTGAAGTGGTGTACCTTTCATCTGTTACAGACTCAAGTGCATCATGTTCCATGCCTGGTGCCGTGGGAGGTAAGGACAAACATGTGGAGCAGATAGGGCTAACTTTGTAGAATAAATGTTCCCTTGATACTATAGATAACTAGTGGTTAAAGCATTTGCTCATCACGACAAAGGCCTGGGTTCGTCACTCACTCACTCACTCACTCACTCACTCACTCACTCACTCACTCACTCACTCACTCACTCACTCACTCACTCACTCACCAAAATGTCTGTTGACCTCACTCACTCACTCACTCACCAAAATGTCTGTTGATCTTCCAGTATCCTCTGTCATGTATTATACAAAGAAAAGCACAGTTACAGTGATGAAGTCACTGATATCCATCCATCAATATACCACGCACCAACACATAGAGGTTGGTTATCAATTATTGATCCCATTCCTTTTGCTCAACTCTCATTAGGAGAAGGATGTAATCGAGACTGCCATCCTTGTATCCACAACATTCCTCAGTAGTGATGTCAACATGCAGCATGCACTTAGCTCAAGTATAGATGCAAGACAGACAGTTGTAGGAGATTATTTAATTGATGCATGTGCCACTTCTTTCTGCTTTTGTCCCTTGTCATCACATGTTGTGGAAACATTGAATTTCCCAATTCAGTGGCCTGGCACAGTAGTAATGTTTTAGAAGACCAGATTTTGTGTAAATAATTTGAATCTCTTATTCAAATCTTTATCAATTCAATTCCAATTCCATATTTTAATACTAGGTTCTGACCCGTGAAGATCCGGGGTAGAATAGGTCTTCAGCAACCCATGCTTGCCGTGAAAAGCGACTATGCTTGTCATCGTATCCCAATTGTGTGGATGGATGCTCATGATATCAATCACTGGATTGTCTGGTCCCGACTCGATTATTTACAGACTGCCGTCATATAGCTGGTATAATGCTGATTGCGGCGTAAAACGACAAACAAACAAACTAATACTAGGTTCTGATACGATGCAATTTTGGTAAAGTATGATCCAGATTATATTACAAGGGTTCAGTATGATGCATATTGTCATACAAGCTTAAAGCGGCAATATGATGCATATTGTCATACAAGCTTAAGGGTGCAAAATGTTGCATATTGTCATACAAGCTTAGGGTGCAATATGATGCATATTGTCATACAAGCTTAAGGGTGCAATATGTTGCATATGGTCATACAAGCTTAAGGGTGCGATATGATGTGTATCACAATGGTGCAACTTGATCCATATTATGATACAAGTGTAATATGATGCATGTCTTTCCTGCCTCTGTAACCATTTGATCAACAACATAGTACATCGCTATGGCAAGCCGTTTTCACATTTATTACAGAATATCAGATATATCTTCAATTGTTTTAAAGATATTGGTATTTTATTTAAAGATATCAATAATGTTTATAAGATATCCAAAAATAATTAAAGATATCTTAAATTCACTTCTGATATCCATAATACAATAACTGATATCTTAAAATTAGTTTGTGATATCTCTAAATGTGTTTAAGATATCATTAAACAATTACCATCCTACTGTACATAAATATATTAAAAATAAATTCAAAATATCTTAAATTCAATTCAAGATATCTTGAAATAAGTCATACATATCCACAAATGCATTACAGATATCTTTAATTCAATTAGAGATATCTTTAATTCAATTACTGTTACTGATATCAAAAATCCAATTAAAGATATCATTAACAAATTTGATGATATCTTTATATTAATCATTGATATCAGTTATCTAATTTAAGTAACATTATTAATGTAACATGTTTAATAATGGCAACAATTGGAGATATCAAATTGAAGACTGTTTAATTATTGATATCTGTATTTAGTTTCAAGATATCAGGAATTGAATTACTGACATCATAACAAAACATGACATTTTGATATCTTTAAATCATATTTTGATATCAATAATAGAATTTAAGATATCAGCAATTCTTTTCAAGATATCAGTAATACGCTTCACCATATCCTTAATTCATTTCGTGATATCTTAAATTTTATTGCAGATATCTACAATTATCTGTATTTAAGATATCTTCAATTCCATTCACGATATCTTTAAAACAATTGAAGATATCTGTAATTCCGTAATAAATGTGAAAACGGCTTGCCATACATCCCTCATAATACATGTAATATGGTATTTATTATTGACAGATGGCATGTGGACACCCGGAAGACGAGGGTACAGCTACTCTCCGGGAGCCAATGTCAAGGACACTCGGGGTCAGAGTTCACAAGGACAAACAAATAAATGGGCCAATGATGACCATGATTTCTGACTTCTAACAAGTGCTAATATGTTAATCATATGACCCATGAACATGGATGGGTTTTTTTACGTTGCCTTACTTGTGACAAGATAGACACCTTACTTGTGTCCAGAATGAGGTTTAGTGCCACCAAGTTCAGAATTTATAAGTGCTTCATCTGTTATTATCGTAGACCAGTGTCATCACTGTTGTTCAACCATGGTTAACTGGTGTTGGAGGAAGTCGAGGAGGAACTGTTTCTCAGAATTCACAAGTTACAAGGTCAGATTTCCAAATATGTGTAGTTGAGTTCTGTTGATTAATTTTTTGCACCAAAAATGGCATTTTTTGCCACTGTGCAGACATCAACATTATCAAAGAACACTAAAGTGAAATCCCAACATTCATGAAAATATATTATGATCGTTTTCTACACACCATAAAGACATATAATCATCAACCTGTCCATCTTTTGGCAATTTCTCTGTCATAGATCTCATATATTAAGTACAACACAGACAGGTGAGTGTATCACTGTTTACTTTCAAGATCCCATTCGTCACCACTCGCCCCTTTCTGTAACCTGCAAGAAGACTTGTCTCCCCATCGATGAATGTCATGTGTGAAATTACAACAAACCAATCAGAAAGCGTGTATGGTTTCAAGTTCTTCCTCAAAGAATCCCTCAGAAATGATTTTTGTTTTTACATATGTCTTGCATCTACAAATATACCCAAGACACAGTTAAATGTGTTCAATCATACTGTATAATTCTGCATGTCTCGAAGTGCTTTAAATTGCATCTAAAATATATATTGTATATGGGGAAATATATGTGAACCATTACAATTGACAACTGTTTTAAGTATGCCCGTCTGCCCTAAGGCGGAACCCAGTCGCAAAAATTGCCATGAGAGGGGCACGAGTCGCTATTAGGCTTGTCCCGGAATAACACAAGTTGGTCACGAATGGAAAGATCCCAGTGTAAGGGAGATAACCCATGATCCTGCTAACATAGGTACCACTGCATATATGTTATGGACAGAATGGTGGTTGTGTATTTTAACCCATTAATCTGAAAAAGTGTTCCTGACTTAGAATGGAATCTGTGTGTCACATGACATAATCATCTATTAGTGTATTTGGAACAAGCTGTAGCCTGTGATATTGGCATATCATAACCTCTCATTTGTTTTGTTTGTGTTTTATCATGGCAAATATGCATTCAAGATGCAATGGTTTTTAAGTTCATTTTTATATTTTTATAATGAACAAGATATATGTAAGCAGATATTTCTGGTGTTGTTTAAAATTAATGGATGATCAGTTTGTTGTGACCGAAATTGATTTTTTTCCAAATTGTCAAAAGGACATAAAGATTTGGTGTGTATGACTTTGAGTACAACAATTGTGCAGCATATTCTAGGTGTTCCATGGAGTGATATGGCTGTAAAACTAACTGTTGTACAGCACCTCACTCAACTTGGCCTCCATGAGTATCCCTCAAGGTCTTGGTTCAGAACCAGTGTCATTAGTCGTGTGTCTTGTGTCAGACTCAGGTACCTGGAAGGATGACGACTCCAGGACTTGAGTACTTGATTGGGGGAATTGCTATTGAAATCAAGGAATTGAAAGGGGGGTTACTCTTGAAATCAAATAACTGATAGAGAGAACCCTGGACTTAAGGTCTTGAAAGGGAGAGAACTCCAGAGCTTGGAAGGGAGATGTTTCCTTGGACAAGGACACCAAGACAAATAACAGAACTGTTAATTAACGGTTTGTTTGAAATTAGTTTACAGATGCACTTGCACCCAAAATATTGAAAAGTGTGTGAAGCATTTATCTGAAAAGAACTGTTAACTGTTTGGACACATGTAAAAATATGTGCAAGACAAACTTAACTAACACTGCCTAAATGGCAACATAAGTTTTGGAAGAACAAAAAACAAAAATAATCTGAAATGTCTGTTTCATATGTCCCCTAGTCCTCAATGCCTACCAGGATTTTGCAGGAAAGCATCTGTAAACAAGGAAATAGTCTGGTTTAAGATTAGCAACTAGTGTCATTGCACAAGTACACAAGTCTTACAGATGGATCTGTCTTGTGATGCGCATGGAATAACACAAGACATGGTCACAGAAGACATGGTATAACTTCCCTGTCACCGGAGTACCGGTATTTGTTACATGGTGAATCTTGCCATTAACGTTTGACTTTATTATCCCACACCACAAAATGGAAGGGGGATATAGGAATGGGTGCTGTCTGTCCATCCATCCGTCCGTCCGTCACATTTTGTTTCTGGAGCAGAACTCAAAAACCAGGAGAGATATCTTAACCAAACTGGGCACATAGATATGTCTTGTGGTGAACTTGGGCCTTTTGATAGTATTGGATTTTTTAAGAATTAATTTTTTCGAATTTCCTTGGCAAAGATTCTGATTTAGACTGAAAATGGCAGTAGTGCTCTACATAACCAGACATGTCATATTGGCGGGGGATGTGAGTATTTCATGCTTGTTTAGTTTGTTTTAGATGTTGTGAAACTGACATTGTATGCAGAGCGGTCTTGTTTATTGTTTGTGTATTTTGTGGGGAATTTATAACCCTGTGTAATGTTTTTATCTCTTTATTGTTTTTTTAACCCTGTTTTGACTGAACTGTCTTAATAGTTAAGAACAATGTGGCAGGTTTATGCAATGTGTAGCTCAGGATTGCCATGAACATTGCAGTTGAATACTGACAGGGAATATCTTAGGGAATACTGGACCAATTTCATTGTGGTTAAGAACTGGAATTAATAACCGTTTTTCTCTTTTTCTAGCTTATTTTGCCACTGAATGGCTTCAACCGTTGTCGTATAGAGTACTACAAAAATGTACCCTGGCCGAAATTGTAAACCAGAAATATCTTGCATGATATGGTTGTTAATAGGAAAGTGCTATTTGGAGATATTGCTCGACCTCATACATGCTTGACCTCACATCAAATCTCATGTGGGAGACATATTTGGATAAGGAAATGCTTTTGTTCATTATATAGTTTATTAGAAATAATATTTGTGATTCCCCGGAGCCAAAACAACATTCTCGGTGCATGTTTTTACAATGGTATGTGGTGTATGATATAGGGTTGACATTTAATGAGAAGGTGTAGGGTGATGTGTAGAATAGTTATGTAAGGCCTTTTATATTTAGTTAGTTGATTTACAAAATGTTGGGCCAGGACATTCGATGTAAGTGGTCAGATGAGTTTTTCTATATTCAACTATCAAAATAAGATGCTCTTGAATTGTTTGATAGGCGTTACTTAGAAGTTGACGGATGACAAGGTAGACACAATTTATGGATAACAACTTCTTTAATACTGTAAAGGCAACGTATTGGTATAGATCCATACAAGTTGATCTTAATGAATGATAAAAACTTGACTAGACTTTCGAGCTGTATAAGTAGTAGGTGTAGACGATGTTTAGGCACTAGCTCATCAGAATCCAACATCTGAACACCAACCAATATTTACAGAAGAATTCAAGGCGATCATCCACCGATGTTTTCAACGATGCTTGGTTGTCAAGGAAGTAGTTCCAGGAACCAGTAGACAGCAGAGGTGCAATCCTCCTAGCAACTAGTAATTATTTTCATGGCACAACGTCTGATAGTGAAACACAGTTAGGCCCCAAAGCCTTTGTCAAAAGAATTTTTTTTTCTCTTATCTAAGTATGTTTCTTGACAGTTGGTTTTGTAAACCACCTCACCAAAAAAAGAGGCCTGAATAATGTTTGTTGTGTGTCCTTGACCAATCAGCTGGTGCTCATTGTCTCACGTTGTTACTTGCACTTGTCATTGCACCTGTTTGAAGCGTCCCATGTTAATATTTTTTTCATAATTAAAAATCAGATCTTTACTCTGATAGCTGTCTGCATGAAGATCTGAGCACACCTACATAGGAGGAAGCGCGAGGAGAACTTTCTAAAATGCAAGTCAGCAACGATGCTTCTAAATTCACTGTGTGTGTGAGGGAAGCGTTCAGACAAGCCTATCTGATTTCTGTATCTCGTATCAGTGTAAAAGATCTGACTATATTTACATAGCTTTACATCTGACATTTGGTGGAATATGGAAATGAGGAAAAGAATTACGATTGTTATACGATTGTTTGATTGAAATGTTACAATTCTAAGTTAATTGTTAACAGTGTAAGATGGATTTGCACTGACTGTTTGTAGTGCTATGGAGTGTTTCCAGTGACTTTATTAACTGACATCATATGGACTGACAAGAATTATTAATAGGTCATGATTTCAAGATACTAATTGCTGAATTAATAAAATACTTTTGACACACACCTTAGCTTACTCTTATGATCACTTATAACTTTCAGTGAGTTTTGCTGCCAGTAAAAGTAGAGGAATTGTCTGTAAGGAGACAACAAAAGTTGTGAAATTTGGGCTCATGTTCATATTTGACCTGGCACTGTGTGATTATAAGAAAGTTAAGTTACAGTCACTTATTTCTGCAATATAGGGGTGGTCAGGTAGCCTAGTGGTTAAAGTGTCGCTCGTCATGCTGAAGGCTGGGTTTGATTTCCCACATGGGAACAATATGTGAAGCCCATTTGTGGAGATCCCCACCGTGATATTGCTAAAGCGCCGTAAAACCATACTCACTCACTCGCTATTCCAGCAATATTTGGTAGCATGGTCCTCATTATATAAAGTCAAAAACCAGTCATAACTGTTAAACGGAAACACTGCTATGTTAAAGTTCCTTCATGCTGTTCTAAAACTGTTAAATTTAGATATATGTTTTATATTTGAATTGATATTTGCAGATCCCTTCATTACACAGTGTTCAAATTAACACATCATTGTACATACCTATTCCTACATCACATCGGAGACCTGATGTATTTTGTAGTCTTTTAAGAAAATGTGTAGCTGACAAAAATTCTTTATACAGAATGTGTTATTAATGTTTCAATTCAATAAACTTCAAATGTATCTTGTATTTTGGTTCTTTTTTTTGTTTCATGGTCAGACTAAGAGGTATATGGTCTCTGCTCTGTTACTTCAGTTTCAATCATCACATGGGGATGCTGGGGCCGAGGAGGCCCATGATTGTCGTCAGTTAGAGAGACTCAACCAAAAGCAGCGATCAGAAAATGAAATATGAGTCGTTATTTGTCCGACTTCTCTACGTTTGGTTGATTATATTTTGGGTTGTTTTTTTGTTTTACGTCGCACTCAGCAATATTCCAGCTATATGACGGCGGTCTGTAAATAATCAAGTCTGAACCAGACGATCCAATGATTGATATCATGAGCATCAATCCACGCCATTGGGATCGATGACCTGCATCAACCAAGTCAGCGAGTCTGACCACCCGAACCCATTAGTTGCGTCTTACGACAAGCATAGTCGCCTTTTACGGCAAGCATGGGTTGGTGAAGACCTATTCTACCCCGGATCTTCATGGGTCGGTTGATTAGAAATATGTTTACATGAGGATGTCTTGGCAGAAGCGATCCCCAGTCATGGTGTGGTTGTCGGCACAAGCACTAATACATACCCAAGTGGAGCAATACTAGCAGCACTGAAGTGGTTTACTTACTCTAAGCCTGCACTGTTGTTACAAGTGACTATGCTTGTCGTAAAAGGCCACTAACACGATCGGGTGGTCAGGCTCGCTGACTTGGTTGATGCATGTCATCGATCCCAAATGCGTGGATTGATGCTCATGATATCAATCACTGGATTGTCTGGTCCAGACTCGATTATTTACAGACCGCCGTCATATAGCTGAAATATTGCTGAGTGCGGCTTTAAACAACAAACCAACCAACCAACTGTTGTTATAAGCATGGGGACTGTCCAAGGATACATGAAGCGATGGCCACAACGCGATGTTTCAAATAAGAATTTGAAAAGGATAGATGTTTTCATTTATGTACACCCAAATCCAGTGGATACTGTTTGTGCGCCTGTTCTTGGTACGATAGTCCTTCAAAGACTAAGTTACAACCACTGTGCACATAAAGCTGAACATCGGCCATAATGACGTGAAGACAAAACTTGGGTTAACTTAGTTGTCATCATTAACTCGGGGTGGTCGGGCAGCCTAGTGGTTAAAGTGTCACTCGTCACGCCAAAGACCCGGGTTCGATTCCCAACATGGGTACAATGTGTGGAGCCCATTTCTGGTGTCCCCGCCGTGATATTGCTGGAATATTGCTAAAAGCGGCATAAAACCATACTCACTCAGTCATCGTTAATTCAGCTTACTTGCCTGTGAGACGGCCCCTGTAACCCTCTGTTGTACCAATTACTGGATATTCCACACAGGACTGAGTTTACTTGTCGGACAAACATATACAGATTTTTTACATTGTGTGAAGAGACCTCCTCATATTCCTTGTTATACAGAAAGGTACCTTGGTTATACAAGTGTATACAGAAAGGTACCTGAGGTATACGTGTGTCAGCAGAAAGGTACCTGGTGTATACGTGTGTCAACAGAAAGGTACCTGAGGTATACGTGTGTCAACAGAAAGGTACCTTGGGTATACGTGTGTCAACAGAAAGGTACCTGGGGTATACGTGTCAACAGAAAGGTACCTGGGGTATACGTGTGTCAACAGAAAGGTACCTTGGGTATACATGTGTCAACAGAAAGGTATCTGGAGTATACGTGTGTCAACAGAAAGGTACCTTGGGTATACGTGTGTCAACAGAAAGGTATCTGGAGTATACGTGTGTCAACAGAAAGGTACCTTGGGTATACATGTGTCAACAGAAAGGTATCTGGAGTATACGTGTGTCAACAGAAAGGTACCTTGGGTATACATGTGTCAACAGAAAGGTATCTGGAGTATACGTGTGTCAACAGAAAGGTACCTTGGGTATACGTGTGTCAACAGAAAGGTACCTGGGTGCCGTTGTGCAAAGCGATCTTAGCGCTAAGGTGATCGTTAACTCCCATACCTTTACATAGACGTACGACAATCGTAGTGCTAAGGTTGTTTTGTACAACACCGAGGGGTACATAGAAAGTATATTGAAATGTATATATATATGTGTATATAGAAAGGTACCTGGGGTATACGTGTGTCAACAGAAAGGTACCTGGGGTATACGTATAGGAGAAACCATGTCTCGGAGGGATTACTAGAGATTGTAAACTAGAGGTTTACAATCTCTAGTAATCTTGAGGAGACATGGTTTGTCCAACTTATAAACGGACTCATCGCATAGACAACGTTTTTAATTAAATAACTGTAATAAAAACTCTCAAATGTATAACCTGTGTCGGAGATGAAATATCGCCTGCAGTCGTGAACTCGGTTCAATGAAACCGGTGACCTCAGCACATGGGTTTCGCAACGGTGTGAAATCTGTACGTGCGTCTCACAATGGCATGAAATCTGCACGTGCGTCTCGTAGGCTGTTCGTAGTTTTTGTTCTATCAAGGGTTTACAATGATTGTAAGCCCTCCTGCGAGGTGTTACAATCGTTGTAATACCTCCTGCGGGGTGTTACAATCATTGTAACAACTTCAAAAACTCTGTATCGAGTTACACAAACAGCCAGTAGGTTTATAAATGTGTATAGGAAAGGTACCTGAGGTATATTTGTGTATAAAGGAAGGTACCTTGAGTGTATTTACAGAGGTACCCGGGGTATACATGTGTATACAGAAATGTACCTTGGTATTCCTGTGGAGTAATTATGCAGACAATGAAATCAGCAGCCGAATCCCGGAGTCATGCTTCTTGTAAAGAGCAGATTAAACTGAGGATCTGTTGATCCCGATGGAGCTGATTGTTGATCCACAGGTTTGGCAGACTTGATTACTTACTGGCCACTCTATTATAGCCCAAAGTATGGCTAAACTTTAGCTTATGTTGCAATAGAACACTTCTCAAACAGTTTTGTTTGGATTGTCTACGAACAGGTTATTTGTTGACCGATGTAGTGTAACTGGAATGTGTTCATTGTGGCATAAAACATCACTCCAATACTGTTACTGGGTTCAGGGACATGTATCTTGTTTCGAGTTACAATTAACCATGATTCATCATTCCTGATGTTTGTTAATCCAGACAAATCAGTGGAAGCGACACAGTCCATATTAACAGGGTTGTTGCATAGCAGGTCAGTGGTATTGAATGTTTCTCATGCTTTCCGTCATGCTTGTTGATCATGTGTCATCATTCCCGATGGCATAATATCAATCACTGTTAGCAGCACGTTGGTGGTTGTGGACTGGGAGGTAACCCTCAGGTACGAGTTCTTCATCATCAAAATATTCATCATCATCATAACATACAGAAGCAGCGTACTCATCTTCGTCCTGATGTTCATACTGCATGTCACTTTTTGAATTTTTCTCAAATGTTATACTTCCAGGGGGCATGGGTGGCCCAGTCGTCTAAGGCGCCGCGATTCGCTGTGCAGAGTTGCATCCCTTAGGCACGCCATAAACTTATGATTGTGGGTTCGAATCCCGGTTCGCCCAGATTATGTTTCTAGGTTTGTCAGCACCATACCCGTGCTCGTGGGTTTCACCGAAGTGGTAAACGTCCGAGACCTGCATCACGTCGGGCTTTCCTCCCTAATTAAGCTGACAAGCCGTGATATGACTGGAATACTGTTAAAAGCGGCGTTTAACCCAACTCACTCACACCTGTCAACACCTGTCAATTGTGGACTGGGTGGTGTGCTCAGAGATATGGCTCATCATTTTGTCCCGACGGAATTGAATGGTGCTTTTCAGAGATTGGTCTGTCTGGTCAGACATGTTTTACGCTGCCGTGATCCAGCTGCAATATTGCTGCCTGCAGCGTAAAACAACATTCACCACACCATAAACAGATTATTACCCTTGTGTGCTTCTGTATCTTGTATGTTTTCTTCAGGAAGAACAACTGTAGTATGCGAGCCTCTGACAAGCATAATACATATCTTGTATTCCTGATATATGATATGGGAAAACTCTTATGTAATGTCATTCTTAAAATAATCAATGTTTAAGATGCAACTTTACTCGAAGTAACTTAAGAAACTTAGTAGGAACTCAATATTTGAGTGAACTGTCCAGTTTATCATATAGTGCCAAATGCCTTGCAGAAATGTCTACAGAAACACTGACACAATGGGAAACCCATATTCAATCATATTGGTCAATATCAGTCAATAGTTGATTGAGAAAGATGGCACTGCATTGTCATGTGATGTATGGAGTTTGAAAGTAGTTCCGGCTAGGTGACCTCATTTATCGGATCACCAAGTTTATCGGATCAGTTTATCACATCCACAACACAAGCAATATAGGATATAATTCACATCAATGTCACACAAAACAATATCAATGATTTTTATCAACTTTATTTCTTCAAACAAAAATAAAATATGGTGATATCACAAATGCAAAATGCATACAAATATAAACCGTGCACGTAAAATACACAACAAAAACCCCGTCAACATTATCACACAGGACGTATATTTGATACATTGGAAAATAACACGTAGAAATCAGTGGTACTGCTGAATATTACTCATCAGTGTTTAACATTGGTCCTGGTGTATTGGATATGATACGGGTTAGTTCCCCATCAACTTATCACAATGGATCATACTGGCGATGTGGAAGATTTGGCTTCGATTGTGCTCTCGTAAATTTGACTTTATCTTGTAATACTGGATAAGGAAAACAACACACACCCACAAAACTGTTCAATACCAAACACACATTTAACAGCAATATTGAAACTAATGTTTAATGCTTTGCATCAAGGACGGACTTCGGAGAAATGTACATACAATGTATTAGTAAACTGAGCAAAAATGGACATTCTTGCACATTCTTATTGCAACTCAAACCAGACACAAACAATACTGATAAAAAACAACATATGTATTTATGTAAAGATACAAATCTTACTCTGACGAAAGTGTACAGCTGTACAGATATTGAGCATATGTACAGACACAAATATAT